GCCAGGTGTCCTGGGATGGCCCAGGCAGAGGTCGAGACCCCGGGTTGGGGGGAGCTTACTGTGGGGGGCCTAGAAGGCGGGACGAGGAGCAGCAGAGGGGCGTGTCCAGGCCTGGCTCAGCCCCTCCCCCACTGGACCCGCGCCCCCTCCCCCGCCCGGGCCAGCGAGGCCACTGTGCCATGTGCCACTGCAGACCGCCCTGGGCGTGCGCGCGGCGGAGGTGGCTGGGCCGGACTCTGCGGGGCCCTTTGTGAGGCGCGGGGAGGAGGCGGCGGACTCCCGGGGGAGGGGCGGGAGGAGAGGGCGGCTCCCTGGGCCCGCCCCGCCGCTGCCGCAGCCCCCGCCCCCGGCCCGCCTGGCCCGCGATAGCAGCGTGGCCGCGGCGTCAGCAGCAGCAGTAGCGGCGGCAGCAGCAGCGGCGGGGCGGCCCGCGCGGGTGTTTATGTCGGGTCGCGGTGTCTCCCAGCAGCATGGCGGACTACCTGATCAGCGGCGGCACCGGCTACGTGCCCGAGGATGGGCTCACCGCGCAGCAGCTCTTCGCCAATGCCGACGGCCTCACCTACAAGTAAGCGCGGGGGGCCTCGGCCCCACCTGGGCGCGCGCACCAGCGCGCCGGGATCCCCCGACTCGGGCCCTGCACGTGCACCGCTCCCCGGTGGGTGACACCCGCGTTCTCAGGCCGGATTCGAGCGACTTGGGCGGGGAGGGGGGTGGGGAGGGCTGAGCAAGGGAAGGAAGGCGGCCCGTGCCGAGAGCAGACGGACGTGGCACAGCAACATCGCGGCCCTCGGTGCCATACCCCGTTTCTTGCTAGATCCGGGTCCGGCCTGCCCCCTTCCCCCTCTCATGGGCATCTTGGCCGCGTGAAGGGGCCTTGGGGCGTGTGGGAACACGAGATGTGGGAGTTATGGAGACTTTTCCTAGACCTTGGTCCAGGATACCCTCTCCCAGCGTCACTAGGAGGACAGAGGGGTCCTGGAGCCCAGCTGAGACAGCTGTTTGGGTGTTGCCCCCAGGAGAGGCCCAGCTGGGCAGTTAGGATGGCTCCTTTTTCCAAGGTCCAGTCCTCTTTCTGCTTGTGCCTCTGCCTGCCCACAGGTTAGCACTAGTAACCCCTTGGACATGAGTATTTTGTGACTGCCACCCCCAAGCCCACCCTACGTGGGATTTTGGAGATCAAGACCTATCTGTTTGCTTCTGGCTTAGTTTGCTCTTCCAAGGGCCCTGGGCTAGTTGTCCTGCCCGCTGCAGGCCTGGCACTAGCTGTCCTCCTGGCTGCAGGACTGTGTCCATGCCAGGAAGGAGCATCAGAACCTGGGACTGGGGTGGAGTGGGGATGCTGGCGAGCCAGGAGCACCCCTGCCCTGTCTCCTGCCAGTCCCTGCCCTTGCCTGTAAGCACTCCTACTGGGCAGGCCGTTTCCCTAGACACCAGTATATATAGTCTCCTGCCTGCCCCATAGCTGAGGTGCGGGCCAGGTGAGCGGTGTATATAATGCGTAGAAATTGCCAAGGGACCCAGACTCCAGTATGTCTTCTCTGGCCTCTAAGTGAGCCACAGAGTCCTCTTTACAGAAGAAAGGCTGTCATAGGGCAGGGGCAGTTAAGACTGTTTGTTCGGCATTCTTTGATGAGGAGAGGGAAGAGAGTATCTCTTTGATGTATTTTTCACTGGAGTCTGCCAAGGAAACTCCCTAGGGAAATGTCTAAGCCTTGCTCTTGGCCTTGGGGCAGGTTAAAGACCCCACCCCTCCCATCCACCCTGTAGCTTTTCCTTCCTGTGCTGGGGTGCCTGCTGCTTTGCTTAGCCTGGTTGGGAGTGTTCCTGAAGCGTGGGGCATTTACTCTTGGGTGTGTCTGTCACAGCCCTATGATTTCAGGCAGATTAAGCCTGTCAGGGGCCAGAGGTGGGGGGAGTGCGGCGGGAAGGTAACTGGGCTTTGGCACTGCCTTGCCATACCCATGCAGGCCTGCCAGACCCCTTCTGGGGTTTGCCGTGACCATGGCCCATCTTAGTGTTGGGCAGCTGCCATGCTTTGTCGGGGGCCCCATGGTCCTGGCCTAATGGTAAGGCCCCTTTCTCCCCTTTCCCATCCCAGGCCATGTCTATTGGCTGCTGCAGTCCAGCTGGGCAGATATTTACTGATGCCTGGTCTGTCAGAATGTGCCCCACCCAAGCTCAGCCCCCTGGAGTCCTGCGCTTTTCTGAAAACCCTGTGTGACCGAGCAGCCCCGGCACTTGGCTGTGTGCAGCTTGTCCTGTGCTGTGTGGTGCTCATATCATGCTGCACTTCTAAACTGTTCTCAGGTTCATCCCATGTCAACTCATTGCCTCCCTGTATCAAGACAGGTTTTCAAGGGCAGGCACTGTATCTGCTGTGTGTGGCTTTATGGGAACTTCTATGTACCTTGACGAACTCTGAGCCCTGAAGACAATGGACATTTGGGGCCAACTGCCTTGGTGGCGCCCCAGGTCTCCAGACCTTCCATGCCCTTTGGTTCTAACTCGTGAACTGGAATCAGTAAGATGCTAGTGGGGAGCACAAGGGTGGTTCCGCCCTGAAGGGGCAGCAGGGATCCGAGGGCTCCAGTGTCTGCCCCTCCCGACCCCCAAGCGGCCTCCCCTGGCACCGCAGGCCCTACCCATTTGCGGTACCCCTCTCCACCCAGTAACACTCACTTTTATCTCTTCACAGCGACTTTCTGATTCTCCCAGGATTCATAGACTTCATCGCTGATGAGGTGGTGAGTACCTCTTCTGCTAACCAGGGGGAGAGGGGCTGTGTATGTGGTGGAAGAGGTTGACTTCCTGTTCAAGAGCTGTGGTGGATCTAGCTTTTATTGCTGCCATAGAAGCTGGCACAGTGCAATGGGTTATGACTAATGGGGCAGAGGCAGCTGTGGGGATTCAGGGGTATCCTGAGTGATGGGCCTGGCCCAGGGCCAGAGGGCTCTCTGTCACTGACAGAGCCTGCAGTGAAGTTCAGAAGACCCTGAGAGGGGGCGTGTATATGTGGCTTGCCTTAATTACAGCAGACCAGAAGGCTTGGGTTTTATCTGAAATGCTGACCCAGGACATGATAGAAGCCAGTAAAATTATGGAGACTTTGAATGAAGTGGACAGGTTTGTTCATGGATCTAAATATACAAGAACTGGTTTGGAGACGTTAGATTTTTGGACAAATACAAGGAAACACAGTGCCTTGCTTACCGGAAGGGCTCAGCAATGAGCCAAGTGAATGAACAATGTCCTTTACTAATCAACATATGACGAACTCGCAGAAGCCAGTGGGTAGTGCTAATGGGTGTAAGTCATTTCATGGAAAAGTTAGATTATGCTATAATGAATTCATACACATTACAAAAATGGTTCCTCTTCTGTTGCCGTTATCATTTATATTTATTCAGGTCTGATACTCATGAAAGGCCAGGGGGCCTGAGTGTATACATTAGGGAAGTGTACGTCCAGCTCCCTCATGTATACCCAGTGCTGACCCAGACAGATTTTTAGGGGAAATTTGGGTTATTCAGGATATTTCCCTTATGACAGCAACCAGGAAGCCTTCTTGGTTCAGCTGTTCAGTTTAACAAAGTTTACCAAGCACCCTGGTTTTGTGCCAGCCCCCAGGCAGAGTGCTGGGAAGAAAGGGATAGAAAAGACCCCTCCTGGCCATTCAAGGGTCTTCCTGAAGTCCTGTGGCCTCTGTAAGGAAGGCTGTGGTTCTTCTCCGGTTATGATGGGAAAGGAGAAAGGGGAGCTTTCTAGACTGTGGGGAAAGGTTCTGAACCAGGGTCTGTAGATAGACTTCGGGGCTTGTGACTCTCGAAAAATTATAACAAAGTCAGTGTCTGAGTGTTTGGGGGGCTGGGATCCGTAGCTGTTGGCCTGAATTTTAGAGGTCTATGATCTGGCCCTACCTACGCTTTGTAGGCAGATGCCTCCCAAATGTATACTTGCAGTCTTGGCCTCTCCCTTGAGCTGCAGACCCTTAGTCACCTACTTTCCTGGATGTCTAATCACTCCTTCCCAAGCCTTCGCCCTTCCAGTTACCAGCATCTCCCACCTGAACCTGTCAGCAGCCTCGTTGGGGGTCCCCCTGCCTCAGGCCTTTTCACCTAGAACCCATTCTCCACATAGGATGGAGCCTGGATAACATCTTTAAAACATAAACCAGGGCGGCCGTGTGGCTCAGTTGGTTAAAAGTGCGAGTTCTGAGCAACAGGGTCGCTGGTTCGATTTCCACATGGGCCAGTGAGCTGCGCCCAAGCTGAGCTGCCACTGAGCTGCCAACAGGTGGCAGGATGGCTCAGATGGTAAGAGCACATGCTCCTAAAAACAAGGTTACCAGTTCGGCTCCCACATGGGATGGTGGGCTACGCACCCCCCCTGCGCACCCCCACAACTAAGATTGAACACGGCACCTTGGCATCTTGAGCTGAGCTGCCCTGAGCTGCTGACGGGCAGCCAGATGGCGATTGGACTTGGAGCTGAGCTAGCTGTGCCCTCCACAACTAAGATTGAAGGACAACAACTTGGCTGTTCCCCTTCCACAATTCCCCAATAAAATTAAAAAAAAACAAAAACGTAAACCAGATCATGTCTCTCCTCTGCCTGAGACCCTCCAGTGGCTTCTCATCTCAGAGTCCAATCTAAGCTCCTCCCCCTGGTTTTCAAAGCTACACTTCCTTGTCCCTTTCTGCCTGCCCCTCCCCCCTCAACCCCTGCCTCTCTCCCTTCCCTCTACTCCACCAGCCTTTTTCTTCCTTAAATACATCTCAGGAAAACATGGAATCAGAGGCAGGTTTTACACACAGCTCCCTCTGCCTGGAGCAACAGTCCCTCAGACTTTGACTTGATTAGTTTCTACTTGTCACCTCCCAAGAAAGAGGCCTCCCTGACCACCACATCCTTCTTCCAGTGGTCACTTTGCCTTATTGCTTTCTTTGGAGCCTTCATCCTGACTGATCATTTTGTACACGTGTTTCGTGTTTGCCCTCTTTCTTTCCAGGTAGAATTTAAGCTCCAGGAGCGATAGCAGGGGCCTCATCTGTTGTTCACTGCTATATCCCCAGACCTGCCCTGGTGCATGTAGAAGCTCAGTAAATGTTTGCGTGAATAATAACACTCTTCACGTAGACTGTGCCTCCCTCCTTAGGACCTGACTTCAGCTCTGACTCGGAAGATTACGCTGAAGACACCACTGATCTCCTCCCCCATGGACACTGTGACAGAGGCTGACATGGCCATCGCGATGGCTGTGAGTCGGGCACCTGGGAAGGGGACTAAATGGCGTCGGGAGGAATTGGTATCAGAAGAGGGGTTTGCAGAGTGAGGAGGGTTGGCCTCCTGGCTCTGACCACACTTCCCTTCCACCCCAGCTGATGGGCGGTATTGGTTTCATTCACCACAACTGCACCCCAGAGTTCCAGGCCAACGAGGTGCGGAAAGTCAAGGCAAGTACCAGGCCCGTCCCCAGAAAGAAGATGCCACCTGGCCGCCCCCACCGCACAGACTCTCCTAGCCTCCTTCGCCAGCCCTGCAGGCTGGGTCGTTCCCTGGCTGATTGCTATGGGGTCTTGTTGATTGCCGTTCTCCACAGTGAGGGCGCAGGGCCCAGCCCTCGTTTTCCCACTGGCTCCTCACCCCATGTGGGCCCTGGCTCCTCTGTGGCACGGCCAGGACATCCTCTGCTCCCTGTGGCCAGGCTGTACACCATGTCTGGCTTTCTTCCAGCCTTTTCCTTCCCTGTCTCTGCCCACAGAAATTTGAACAGGGCTTCATTACGGACCCCGTGGTGCTGAGCCCCTCACACACTGTGGGGGATGTGCTGGAGGCCAAGATTCGGCATGGCTTCTCTGGCATCCCCATCACTGAGACGGGCACCATGGGCAGCAAGCTGGTGGGCATCGTCACCTCCCGAGACATCGACTTTCTTGCCGAGAAGGACCACACCACCCTCCTCAGTGAGGTACCTCCAAGGGCGGGGAAAGCGTGGCTGGCAGAGAGAGAACCCCACACCCTAGGGCCTCAGGCTGGTGCCTGTGACCAGGGCCAGAGGGAGGTCTGGCTCCCTTCTCTCTCACCTGCCAACCTGCAGGCAAATGTTCCTGGCTCCCACAGGTGATGACGCCACGGAATGAGCTGGTGGTGGCTCCAGCAGGTGTGACATTGAAAGAGGCAAATGAGATCCTGCAGCACAGCAAAAAAGGTACCGAGGAATAGGCAGAACACTCAAGACCGCGCCAGCCTGGCTCCCTGTACCCCAGCTCCCCCATTCCTTCGAGCCCTGCAGGTTGTCCCAGCAACCAGCCTGGGCCTTTTGAATAACCCCAGGCTGGAGCATAATTCCTGAGGGCCTTTTCCTGGCTTAGGAAAACCAGTCCCTTTTTCAGCATCTTCACAGTAGGTTTCCCCCAAAAAACTAGTCCTGTGAAATGTTCATCATGGAAAAAGGGCCCTATGGTCTTACAAGTCTGAAAAATTGCTCTTTTCTGGATCCGCCATCTTGCATAAAGAATTGTACTTGAGCTTATTAAAAACTCAGAGGTCCTGCAGTTAAATGTACTTGACATTGGGGCTGTTGATATAAATATTCATTAGGTCCCTGTGGGAGACACTGGAACATGCTTCCCTGGCCCACCCAGAACTGGATTGTTCTCTGGGGATGGTATTCGGCAGGGCACAGGGGCCTCCCTGCAGGACAGCCTCACATTTGTGCCCTGGCTAGAATTTTTCGACCACTGTGTCCTGTGGCCCAGCAGGTGAAAGGCTGCCAGTGCTCGGGAACTGCCCACCCCAGCCTGGCCAGGCCACAGGGCAGGAAGGGCTCCAGGAACCCTCTTGGCTACAAGATTTCTTTGCTTCCTGTTCCTTGGGAAGAGGCCCTGGTCCCTGGGAGCGCTTCCTAGGTGGGTGCTGTCACCTAGTGGCTACTTTGGGTACTTCAGTGGACTCTCTGATGTGGTCCATTTGCATCCTCACTCTCCCCACCCCCCTAGGCCCCAGAGGCTGCTCCTTCATCTTACCTCTGCATTCCTCATCAGGGAAGCTGCCCATTGTCAATAATCGCGATGAGCTAGTGGCCATCATTGCCCGCACTGACCTGAAGAAGAACCGGGACTACCCTCTGGCCTCCAAGGATTCCCACAAGCAGCTGCTGTGTGGGGCAGCCGTGGGCACCCGAGAGGACGACAAATATCGCCTGGACCTGCTCACCCAGGCAGGCGCTGATGTCATAGTGCTGGTACGGGCGCTTCCCTGGGGCCGGGGTGGTTCAGGAGAGTAGAGGCTTAGGAACCCCAGGCTCGCCTCTAACTAAGCCTGGAATCAGGATTAGAGGAGGGTCAGTGGTACTCTGACAGCTCAGACCAACTGTGGGCCCTTCTGAGGGCCTTCTGAGCATGCTCATAAGTGGACCCTAATGGTTATAGCTCACATTCATGGGGGCATTCCACTTGCCAGGCCCTACACTCAGACCTTTAGGTTGATGAACTCATTTAATCCTCCCAACAGCCCTCTGAGGTACAATTACCAGGCCCCTTGTCAGATGAAGAAACCAAGGCTGAGTAGGTTAAGTACTTTCACTTGGTTAGTGATTTGGTGGGAACAGGATAGGCCCCAGGCAACTGTGAGGATCATTCTATCCGTGGGTATAAAAGGGCTTTGTCTGCTCTGAAAGTATACATTAATGGTGCTTAACCTTTTGGGGAAAGCAGGCCCCTTTGAGAATCGGCTAGGAGCTATCAATTGTCTTCTTAGAAAAAAACAAAGCACCCTCATAACATTTTTCATATTAGTTCAGGAGTTTGTCCACTTAAGGGAGGACCCTCAGCCATCGTAACCTAAGCTTTCCCGTCCCCCTTGTCACAGGACTCATCCCAAGGGAACTCTGTGTATCAGATCGCCATGGTGCACTATATCAAGCAGAAGTACCCCCATCTTCAGGTGGTTGGGGGGAATGGTAAGTGGGAAGTCATTTCCACTCCCCGCCCGCCCTTGCCCCTTCACTGTGCAACTTCCTGTCCTTTAGCATCCTGAGGTGATGGCTTTGCCCCTGCATGAGGGGCAGGGAGCTGAATAAATAGGCTTTGGTCACTGTAGCTGGGAGGGTGGCTGGACTGGGGTCCCAGGGAGCCCCAGTGCAGGGCAGGGCACCCCATCCTCACACTGTGCCTCTTTCCCTGACCTCCTCCCACAGTGGTGACAGCAGCTCAGGCCAAGAATCTGATCGATGCTGGTGTGGACGGGCTGCGTGTGGGCATGGGCTGCGGCTCCATCTGCATCACCCAAGAAGGTGGGTGTCAGTAAGAAGAGTGACTTCCACGTAGAACACCCCGCTGGCCCTCCACAGGCCCCCTGTGCCGCACTCTTGTTCCACAGATGCATGCTGAGTGCTCTTTCTTTCCGGGATGGTGGGTTCAGGGGTGACCCGGGCTCAGACTCTGCCTGTCTGGCCCACTGACTTGCGGGGAAGCAGGCGTAAGATGAGGCTACCGAGAGTTCTGGGTATGCACCAGCCTGCTTCTCAGATTCTGGTCAAGGAGGCCCAAGCTGAAGGCCCAAGGCTGGTGTGCCTGCTTCTCTGAGGTGCTTGTTGGAAGGCAGCTCAGGGTCTGGATTAGCTTTGTGACAAAGCAGACACTTAAGACATGGAGACAGCATGTCCTTGAATGTCGAAGGCTATACACCTTATCACCATGTGCTGAATAGTTGGGGAGGGGTTCCACTGAGTCGCAGTGGGTTCCCGAACACGAAGAGGGGGAGAGTGAGACCATGCCGTGTGTTCCCATGTGGTTGAGGGGTGCTCCCTGAATGCTGGTGTCTGACTGATGGGTCCTGGCTTGGTCTGGGGCATGGATCTGGCCCCTCTCATGAGGGTCATTTGCTCAGAATACCTCCCTGCCCAGAACATCTCCCCATTGGGTCTTCACAGCCTCTGCTTTTAAGTGTCTACTCATTACCTTAGCTGACTACCGTGATGAAACATGGGCCTTTTCTCAGTCCCTTTACAAATATTAATTGGGATGCAATAGGGGCCAAACAAACAATAGACACTTCCGGAGAAGGCTCCTTCCCAACTTGATCCAGCCTTGCATCCATCCCTAGATAAGTGCTGGGTCCTTAGAGTTCCCGCTTAAAGCCTAACACTTACGGACCTTGGACAGTTAGACTTAAAGAAACGCAAACCAATATCCCAAAGGAGGCCACGCGTACCTAACCCTAGTAACAGGCCTTGCAAATGAAAGCCTCGAAGGGAAACTTGTACATGGAGAGAGGTGAGTCTGGGACCAGGCCTGAGGGCACCGGTCTGGGGGTGTAATACTCTGAAGGCCAGTACTAACCCCTGCACCCCGCATCAGAATTCCCCATAGTGCTGTCAGAGTGGGCTGGTCTGGGTCCCTGGAATGACATTCACCCTAGTGTTATTTGCTGCCACATATCTTGTGCCTCAGAAACATCATGCAGCCCTGTCCCTTCCCCTGAGTGGAGGTAGGGCACAAGGAGAAAGGAGCCTGTCCCTGGCCCCTAGGTTGCTGTTGACACCTCCGTTTTGTGTGCCCCCCCTGCAGTGATGGCCTGTGGTCGGCCGCAGGGCACTGCAGTGTACAAGGTGGCTGAGTACGCCCGGCGCTTTGGGGTGCCGGTCATCGCCGATGGTGGCATCCAGACCGTGGGGCATGTGGTCAAGGCCCTGGCCCTTGGAGCTTCCACTGGTGAGGGGGACTGCTGGGGGACTGGGCAGGCCACTGAGGGGCTGGAAGCTGGCTGGGGGCAGTAGGAAGGCCATGAGCTAGAGGCACTGATTCCCGCTTCCACCACTGCAGTGATGATGGGCTCCCTGCTCGCCGCCACCACGGAGGCCCCCGGTGAGTACTTCTTCTCGGATGGGGTGAGGCTCAAGAAGTACCGGGGCATGGGCTCCTTGGATGCCATGGAGAAGAGCAGCAGCAGCCAGAAACGCTATTTCAGGTGCTCTGCCCCTGAGCCCGGCCCCAGGCAGATCAGCCCTCAACCCTTCAAGGGTCCATACACACCTTTGACTTCCTAAGATGGTGCTCAGTCTCCATCTGGAGACTGAGACAAGAGGGCACCATTAGCAGACTTGGGACGGTATCTGCCACCTGACTCAGAATCCATGCTTTTTTGTGCTGTAGACCAGGGAGTGGGTGCTTTGGGGGTCCTTCTGGGTGGTATTCCTTCTGCTGGTGCCCTTGAGAGGTGAGGTGGGGTCTTCTGAGCTGTGGGCTGCCTGGCTCAGTCTCCCGGTCCTCCATGCAGTGAGGGTGATAAGGTGAAGATCGCACAGGGTGTCTCGGGCTCCATCCAGGACAAAGGCTCCATTCAGAAGTTCGTGCCCTACCTCATAGCAGGGGTCCAGCATGGCTGCCAGGATATCGGTGCCCGGAGCCTGTCTGTCCTGCGGTGAGTGCTGTGACGAGGGGGCAGCTGGCGGGGGGCACCTGGAAGGCTCCTGGCTCCCCCCGTCCCCACTCCTCCCGCACTCTGCCCTTGGTGCCCTGACCTGCTCCATCGACCTGCCTGCAGGTCCATGATGTACTCAGGAGAGCTCAAGTTTGAGAAGCGGACCATGTCGGCTCAGATTGAGGGTGGTGTCCACGGCCTGCACTCGTAAGTATGGGGCCTCCTTGTCCTAGCTGGCTGGCACTGGGTTGGGCAGGTGGGACTGTGGTTCAGAGGCTGAGCTGAGATTTCAGGGACCCCACGGGCCATCGGCACCAAGGATGGATACTGCTGCAGAGTGACCCTGTCACCCTCTCCTACAGGGCCCAGCCCACCCTTGAACATTGTCTTTGGGCGCCTATGCAGGCAGGCCCCTCTCTTCCCCTCTGGCATCGCCCCCTGAGCAGGGCACGGGAGATGCGGCCGCTAGCCCCTCCTAGGCTCCCAGGCCTTTGCTTGTGTAGAAGCTTGGTGGCTAATGGCAGGGGCTGGCATTGCTGGGCTCTTGCTGGTGGTGGCTCCAGGCAGGCAGGTGGAGGCTGGGGGCAGAGAGACAGATGCCAGGGCCAGCGCTGGGGCGACCATGGGTGGGGGGGCAGTGCTAGTTGGCAGCAGTAGTTGTAGGCATGCGGCCCTGCCCGGTAGAGAGGGCCTGTCCCCCCAGGCATAGGCGGGCATCTAACCTGTGTCTCTTTCTGCCCCATCCTCCTGTAGCTATACCTTTCTGCCGTGTAAGTAACCGCGCTGCCCGGGCCAAGTGTAGAGTAGAGCAGGGGCAGTCTGGGTGGGACCTGAGCTGGGGGTGGGGGGGCACTGCATTGGGGGTGGCGCTGAGGGTGTAATCATGGGACATGGAATCTAGGACTAGCACTGTGGTGGGATCAGCCTTCAGTGGCCCCTCCTCCAGCAGAAACATCCCTTTCTGGGGTACAGAGAGATGTCACTGACCACAGGCCTGAGGTTGCCCTGTGTTGGACTGGACCCAGGGACCACAGGAGGCCTAGGCCACTGTGTGTACGTGATGGGGTGGAGACACGGGCAGCAGAGGTTCAACTTGTTGGTCTGAGCTTGCTCTGTGAGGATGGGCCGTGCCTTCCTGAGCTATCTCTCCACCCTGGCACTGAAGACAGTCCACTCAGCGGTGGCTATGGCCAAAAGGAGCATGGCTGTCCCTGGCCTGATTCTTCCAGGAGCCTTGGCCTGAGGAGGGCAGAGGCACAGGGCCTACTCTTTTCCCTCCCCCCCCCCCCGCAGTTCACTGCCACTCTGCATCTGGGGAGCCACCTGGCACCCCAGGGCCTGGGCAGGGGGGTCTGGGAAGGGAGCAAGGTCCACATGCCCACTCTCGGTTGCCCTCTTGCCTTGTCCCCACAGTTACGAGAAGCGGCTATACTGAGGACGGTGGTGGAGGCCCAGGCGGCGGAGGGGATGTGCCCCAGGGTTCCCCTTTGGGCACAGCCTCCCTCCATAACTGAGTGGTCCATAGATTTGCACTACGGGTTCCCCAGCTCCTTTCCAGAGAGAGAGGAGGCCTTGAGAGTCTGCGGCCCCTCGCTGGGCATCCCCCGCAGAGTCAGGACTGCTCCTGGGGCCTGGCTGCCCTGGGAGTCCCCCAGGATCCCCCTTCTTCAGTCCCCCCTGAGCCCACCAGCCTGGGCTCTCAGGCCCTGTGCCTGCCTCAGGTCTTTCTTGCTGCAGCCTGCTCCAGCCCGGCTCCCATCCCTGGGGCAGGCGGCTCCTCCTTGGCTTCTCCTGTAGGGCACCTCCTTCCCCACCCCCGACCCCTGGAAATGGTGCTCTCCTGGCCCTGCCTCTGGCCCCTTCCTGGACTGCTGCTCCCTCAGCCATGGGGCACTTCTGGGCTTCTGACCTAAGCCAGAGGGAGGTCTCTGCCCCCTTCCCCTGGCCCTAGGTTACCCGTTCCTCAGGCCACTCCCCTGTCCCCTGCCCTGGGGAGGAGGCAGCCCATCATTCCTGACTTACTACCATCCCCAGGTGTACCATGCCTGCCCTCTCCTCTCAGCTGCAGTTGAAGGCTTTAACTTTGCACACTTTGGGTCACAGTTATGTCATTGTATATTGAATAATCTGAATAAACCAGGAGGTCGCAATGCCTCTGCCATCCTGTCTCTGTCCCTTGTCCACTGGGCAGCTGGCCCCAATCCTGGTGGTGAGCTGGAACCCAGAGCCCCATCAGAGGCAGGCCATGGGTGGGTGGGGACACCTCCCCAGGAAGGTGATTAAGCTGTGGCGGTACTTCCAGTTGCGCTGGTGCAGGTGGGACATGTGGCGGGAGGTCTTCCAGGCCTGTGCCCACACGGGCATGCCCACCTGCTGCCAGCAGGCCAGCAGCTTCTGCAGGCAGGAAGTATCACAGAGGGGGTCATCGAGGCTGTACAAGACTGGCATTGGGGGCCTCATCGGCGGCTGCCAGAAACTCCCTTCGCAGCCCTGTAGTGCTGAACGGTGCAGCCCGGCCCAGGTGGAATTAGCACGGCTGTGGCCCTGAAGGCCCAGGGCCTTGGTGTCATCAGCTGAGACTCTCCTGTGGGTACCAGGTAGAGGGGGCTTAGCTCCCACTGTTCATAAGCAGCTCAGGACCCACCTCCCAGCCTCAGCCCCCTCCTGGTGACAGCAGTGACACGTGGGCTGCTGCATATCCCAAGTTTGGGGCCCTGGGACATCCACATTGCCGCCTTCTGCCTCTGCTGTTGTAGTTGGGTAGTCATCACACAGCTGTCCCATCGAGGTACAGACACCGCTCAGGATTGGGAGCAAGGAAGATGGCCTGGAATGCTTTGTGGGAACGCGCAGAGCGTGCAGGGGGTCCTCGTTTGTGGGTAAGGTGGAGCTGGAAACAGTCCCTTGAGTGCAGGGAGGGACTGCCTCAGCCTACGCTTGGCACGCCATGTCATTCATTACCTGCCTTCCCCCAGGCCCTTCCAAGCCAAGGGGCCAGCCGTTCACTGTGCCATTTTCCAGCTTTGTGGCATCTTCAGGGATGAGAAGGAAACAGCTGGGTGGCAGGACTGTTGGGTGGGTTCAGAGCTCATTCAACAACTGCTCCCGGAGTTGTTGCAAAATGACTAGGTCACTGAGAGTCCCTGGAGGCCTTGTGCCCTGGACTCTGTGGCCTTGGTGAGCACTTTAGAGTCTGAGGTAACCCAGCTTGGTGGGAGAAGGATGTCCAGATACCAGGGGATGGTAAAAGTTGAGAGGGGTGGAGCAAAATGAAGCCACGTTTCATAGTTTGTCTTGCACATTGGTTTACCAAAACCATACAGGAAGCAGCTTGACCAGCAATTAAGATGGAAAAGATCTAAGGGTTTTTAGAGAAATGCCATCACTCTGCATCAAGGATATGAGGGCTTCAAAGGGAGAATTTTCCTTTTGAACTAGACCTAATTGATCCATTAGAGCTGACCAATACCTTGTAACAATGGCGTCCTAGTAACTTGTGGTATGCCAGCATGACTTTGGCCCTTCTAGTGCAAGATTAAACACAGGAATCCTCAAATTTTGGTGTGCATCAGATTTACCTCGGGAGCTGAAACGAACCCAGAGGCCCAGGCTCAATGCAGTAAGATGGGGTCTGGGCCTCTGAATTGTCACTCTGCCCTACACCCCCACCCCCACCCCCCCACCTAACCCCAAGGTGATTCTGATATATACCAAAGTTTGAGAACCACTGTTTTAGAAGAAATTTGTGTATCCAATTACATGATTTCTGAGACTTTCCAAAGAAGCATGTGTCCTGAGAAGAGTTTTAGGTGACATAGCATCTACCTCATGGCTCACTGAGGGGATTATGTGAGAGAACATAAGGAAGGTTATAGGTGCTCAGTCAATTAGTCTTATCGTGTCCTAGTCGGCCTCCCCTTCCCCAGAGGACTAGAAGCTGGAAATAAGTGCATGCTAGGTTGGACTTGGACAACATGCTCACTCTTACCGATTCAGCCACAGTGGGGGAGGCCCAGGCAGGACAAAAGGACAGGTGCTGTGGGTAGGAAGGCCACATCAGGCAGCCCAGAGCCACATTCAGGACAGATGCAGGTCACAGACCCTGTGGTCAGCAGAAGGTGTTCACCTGGAGTTGCCCAGTTGCTTCCTCGCCCTCACCCTGGCACACTCACCCAGCATCATGCCATCCAAGCCACACTGCTGTGGCATGCCAGGTCCTGGCTCATGAGCAGCAGCATCTGTGCAAAGGTGTAGCCACCCAGGGAGAGGGTGTGCAGCTGGTCTGTGCCCCAGGCGGCAGCAATGCCAGCACCCACGCAGCCTGCCCCAGGCTCAGAGTGGGCACCGGAAGTGGCTCAGCTTGTTCTCACTAGCTCTCCACGCTAGCACAGCAAAGCCACAAGCCAAGTAGAGTGTCATGTACTTGGCTTCCAGGAGCAGGAGCAGCTGCTGGCCAGAGTTCCCTGGGCTGGTAGTACAGGTGGCTGAAGCGAGAGTCATGGCTGGTGCATCCTGGAGGGCAGATGGAGGCGAGGTGGGCGGCCCTGGACTCTGGCCTCACCTTTCCCCCCGACATCTACAGGCCAAGAACAGGGGCTCTCAGATGGCATGACCAAGTAGTAGCTCAGGGCTGTGATTCCATCAGGAAGTGGGCAGCGAGCCAGGAAAGGAGGGGTGAGCATCGCAGCTGTGTGCCACTCAGCTGCCCTCAGTCCCTTCCTCCACCCCCTCTCACACCAAGGAGTAAGGTCTGGAGAGGAAGGGGGAGCCAGTGGGAGAAGGGAGGGGTATAGGCAGGTTCTCCCTGCACCCTTACCCTGAGCTTTTTGTCCCTTCAGGGTCCCTTCTGCCTCCTAAGGGCCAGACCCCAACCCCAGCTTCTCTGGGTCCACTCCTGCTTTACACATAGACCACCCCCTTATTAGGGGATTGGGGGGCCAACTCTATTCACCTTACCCCACCCCTCTCCCAGCCGCCCTTCTGCCTTCAGCGGAGGAGAGTTTGGAGGCAGCGCACCTGGTCAGAGGGTAGTGCCAGGCTCAAAGCATGCAGCTCCCTGCAACCTCTTCTAGGGTCCAGTCCCACAATCCCGGACCCCACACTTACTGTTCTCAGGATACAGCGCCTCACCTGCAGGGTGCACAGGTCACCTCCACAGGCTCCTCCTTTCCATTCCTTCCAGCTCAGTGCAGGAGAGGGACTGGCAG